TCAATGGTGAAAAGCTGAAATCTTTTTCTGTAAAATCAGCAACAAGACAAGGGTGCCTGCTGTCACCACTTCTATGAATGTAGTACTGCAAGTCCTAGGTGGAGCAATCAGACATGAATAGTACTGCAAGTCCTAGGTGGAGCAATCAGACATGAAAAAGAAATAAAAGCCCTCCAAATCAGAAAGAAAGGGATGCAATTATCCCCATTTGCAGGTGACATTATTGTATATGTAGAAAACCATACAGACTTAATAAAAAAATTTAGAGCACATAAATAAATAAAGTAAGGTTACAGGATTCAAAATCAACATACAAAACTATGTTGCACTCACAGGATAACAACCTATGTCAAAATAAATTTTTTAAAAATTCTATTTACAACAGCACCATTTCATTACATCTTGTAGCTGCCAGGTGACAGTGGAAGCTCATTTCCCCACAGACCCCGCTGACTCTACCCTGGCAGGGGACCTGGAGGGAGGATGGGGCGAAGGTCAACTCCCAGATTGGCCCCCCTGAAACCCAGGGGACAGAGAGAGTATGATGTTTACATTGCTGTTTGTCTAGAGTAGGGTAAATAGTGCTAAAATGTTGTCTATTTTGTTAAGGCCACCCTTTTCCCAGTTCTTTGACTGAGAGATACAGGCTTTTCTTGGAGCTTTTTTTATCTTAGTCTGTTGGTGGTTCTGGTTAAAGTCTTCTGCAGATTCCTCTCCAGGGTATACGGAAGTGATAAGGAAACCCAGGGACTCAGCACTAAGTTATTTCTTAAATCCCGAAGTCCCTAGGCAGTTTTTCTTATTCATAGTTCTGCCTTTCACAGTCATCCTGTGCTTGTTTCTTGTGCTACATCTAGGGGTTTTTTAGTAACAAGAGGGAGGTCCTGGAAGGAATGGGACTCCATCTTCAAAGAAATGAGAATTCAATGCCATCAAACATTTAAAAATATCTTGCCAGTTTTTTTTCTTTATTTTGGGCCAGAAATCTGGTATAATACAAATTATCCTGCCATATCCAGATGTGGAAGTCTCCCTACTTACTTTGAATGGAAAGGATTTTTAAGAAAGGAATGTGTCAGATACAAGTAAAAGTGCCCTAGTGTCCTCGAAGATCCCTTCAGTCCACCCCTCCACAGAGAATGTATGCCTTAAAAGTAGTCAAAGTATTAAGAGGATATTTGTGATATTGATCTTTTGCATAATTTCATGTGCCTCAGTTTCATCCTCGGTAAGTTAAGGATTGAAAAAAAAAAAAAAAACCTTAACAGTTATTTTGAGGATTAATTGGGTTAATGCTTCTGAATCACTGAGAATGGTACCTAGAATATAATAAACAATCTGGTATTGTTAGCTGCTATTTCTAATACTCCCAGGACGGCTACTACTACTATTACTACTAACATTTGGCTTCTACACCTTCTGACTCTCCAACCATGTGAATACATAAAGGAGAAATTATTTAGTAGAGTGTGATTACAAATCTTTAGTAATTAGGCTGGATTCCATTTGCCAATCACAGGAGTGGCACAGATGTAGTTAGTATTGGTTTGTGTAAAAGCCTAGGAAAGTTGCAAGAAGATCTGATCTGAAAGTTCAATCGCTTGAATTAGGCTGAAATATTCAACCAATCAGTGGCCAGGATGCAAAATCAGCAGAGTCAGTGAGTGGCTCAAGCAAGAGCAAAAGCTTCTTTTAGCCATTCATTAATTCATTAATTTATTAATTTTTTTTCTTTCCTTTATTTCACTTATGCATTTATGCTTACTATGTTCCAGGAACTGTGTGAAAATTAGATACATAGGGGAAGAGGAAAAACATTGTAGCTATCTATAGGAAGCTTCCAGCATTGTGGAGAAAACAAACATCGAATCTGTAACTATAGTTCACTGAGTATTTCTTAAGAAAATACACTGGGTTTTAATGAGGGGATAATAAGTGTACCGAATTTGGCCTGGAGCCTCAAGAAGGCTGCCTAGGCAGTGGGAAACCTATAGCATAAGAAGGTGATAACCCGGTGTGAGGAAAAATGCATTTCAAGTAGAGATACTTAACATAACAAGGTCTTTAGGCAGCAAAGAATACAGGTGTGTCTGAGGATTTAAGGATCAGCAAATGATTTGTTCCTACAGTTTGTGTGATTAGGACCAAGAAGGAGAGTGGTGAAGACGGAACTAAAACTGGAGCCATATTCAGTACCTTGTAAGCCATATTAAGAATTATTGACATCATTTCAATATCTTTGGAGGATTAAACTAGGGAACTTATCTATTTAGATTTATGACCGTGGTTCGTGTATGGAGAAACAGAAGCGAGTAAGAGACAGAAGAGGAAAGCTGGTTAGGGGTTATTAGTCAGGGTTCTCCAGAGAAACAAATCTAAGAGGGTATGTGTGGGTATGGTGTGTGCGTGCATGCGTGTGTGTGTGTGTGTGTGTGTGTGTATGTGTCCATATCGGTCTATATGAGATGCAGAGAGAGAGAGAGAGACAGACAGACAGACAGACAGACAATAACTGAAATACAGATTTTAAGGATTTGGCTGATGCTATGATTGTGGGGGCTGGGAAGTCTGAAATCCACAGGGCAGGTGAGCAGATTGGAAATTCCAGCAAGAGATGATGTTGCAATATAGAGCCCAGTGATAGTCTGGAGGAAGAATTCCTTCCTCTTTGGGAGACCTCAGTCTTTTCACTTAAGACCTTCAACCAATTACAGAAGGCCCATTTGTATTAGGGAGGCCAATCTGCTTTAGTTGAAGTCTACTGATTTAAATGGTAACCAAATCAGAAAAATACTATTACGGCAATATCTGATTTGGTATTCAACCAAACAACTGGGCACCATAGCCTAGCCAATTCTACACATAACATTAACCATCTCAAAGGCACTATTGTAATATAGATGTATAGGTGGCAGCTTGAAATAGAAGTGATGACAATGAAGATGAAGAGAAGCAATGGGTAAACATTAGACTCAGGATATACAGGACTTTGCAATGGAATGTAGTAATGTGAAGGAGGAAGGAGAAATAAACTACTCTCAGGTTTCAGAATCAATAAATCAATTGAACGATGGTGTCTCTTACCTAAGGGGAGAAATTTGGGGGTAGAAGAGAGGACAGGAAAGGAAGAAAATGTACTAATTATCAGTGAATTAAGATTATTAGTGGACAAACCATCCAGGGCCCTCAAGCTTCCTTAGCAGATTGAGGGTTTGACTGTGAACAAGTAACTCCAAGAGTTTGTTCCACTCAGTCACTGTAGAGTTCAGAAATACTGATCATTCCTACAGAGGAAGTTACCCTTTTGACCTGACAGAATTCACAGGTTAGTCAGGGGCATCTCATCCTTTCTTTTCTGGGGACCCCTATATCCATGACCTGTGTCAGAGGCCAGAAACACAGACCAGAATTTTACGGGTCCACAAAGTCCAACCCCCAACAGATAAACTTACTGCAAGAAAAACATCTCTAGCAATTTTATTATCTTTTCCCATTTCCTTTTGGAATATACACAGTCATACTTGCAATTATCACATACATTTCATGATAAACTGCTGTTGAAATTGAACACAGGAAGGTATATGGATGGCCAACAGACACATGAAAAAATGCTCAACATCAATCAGCATCCAGGAAATGCAAATCAGAACGACATTCAGATATCACTTCATTCCAGTTAGTCTGGCTAATATCCAAAAGACTGAGAATAACAAATGCTGGTGAAAATGCAGAGAAGGGGAACCCTCCTAAACTGTTGGTGGGACTGTGAATTGGTGCAGCCATTGTGGAAAATGATATGGAGGTTTCTCAAACAACTACAGAAAGAACTGTCATATGACCCAGCAATCCCACTGCTGGGTATATACCCAAAGGAATGGAAATCATCATGTCGAAGAGATACCTGTACTCCCATGGTTTTTTTTTTTTTTGACCAGTAAGGGGATTGCAACCCTCAGCATGGTGTTTTCTGCACCATGCTCAGCCAGTAAGCACACCAGCCATCCCCATATAGGATCCGAACCCACGGCCTCGGTGCTACCAGCGCCGCACTCTCCCGAGTGAGCCACAGGGCTGGCCTTGTACTCCCATGTTTAATGCAGCTTTATTTACAATAGCCAAGAGTTGGATCAATGCCCATCATCAGATGAATGGATAACGAAAATGTCATATATCTACACAATGGACTACTACTCCACTGTAAAGAAAAATGAAATACTGTCATTCGTGCAACATGCATGAACTTAGAGAAAATCGTGTTAAGTGAAATAAGCCAGGCACAGAAAGAGAAATAATGTATGTTCTCACTTATATGTGGGAGCTAATAAAAATAAATAAATGAATAAACAAATAAATAGAAAAAAAGACACAACAATCACAATAATTTCTTGAACATTTTAAGAGAAGAGAACAGATATGAGGTTGATGGGGGTGGAAAGGGAGAGAGGGAGTGGGTAAGGGAGGAATTGGTAAAGGGCCAAGAAAATCAATTACATTGTATAATGATAAATAAAAAAATTTAAAAATAAATAAATAAATAAAAGTGATAGTTAAAAAGTGGTGACAGATAAAAAAATGAACACAGACTTAATGATTTGGACATATAGTAACCTCAACTTACAACAAAAAATTACTTTTGAAAAATAAATATAAATATGTTTTTTTAAAAATTTTCAGCAGCTTGAGTATTTTTTCATGTAAACTAAATTTTTTTAAATTATAAATTTAGCTTAAGTTTATTAGAAGTAACTATGGCACTCTGATTTACTACTCGATATCTAAAAATCCACTCTCTACGCGTACTAAAAAGCTCCAGACCAGTTAATTATATATGGACACATATACAAGGCTACCACAAAAAGTTCATGGAAAAATAAAATTAAAAGATCAAATGAACCTTTTCATGAACTTTTTGAAGTACACTCGTATTTCAACCAAAGGCACTCAATTTCCTTTTATTATTTTGAGATAGGACATGAAATCCTACAAAAATAAAGATGTCACTAAGAAAATATTTTTCTACCAAGCTCTCTCTTCAGAGCCCCCTTAATCTCCTTGTTCCTGATACTATAGATAAGGGGATTCAACATGGGAATCACCACCGTGTAGAACAGAGACACCACCTTGTTCTGATCTGTTGAGTAGCTGGACTCGGGCATCACATAAATGAATGTGATGGTCCCATAGAACAGAGTGACCACAGTGAGGTGGGAGGTGCAGGTGGAGAAGGCCTTGTGGCGCCCCTCAGTAGAGCGCATCTGCAGGATGGTGATGAGGATGTAGATGTACGAGACGGCTATGACAAACACTGTGACCACAACAATGGAGCCAACAGCAAATGCAGAAACAATTTCAAAGACAGTGACATCCGAACAGGAGAGTCGAAGTAAAGGAGCAAAATCACAGAAAAAATGATTGACTTGATTTGGTCCACAGAAGAACAAAGAAAAGAAGGAAATAGTGTAGGAGATAGCATTGAGAAAACCAGCCATGTAAGCCCCTGCAAGTAACTGGACACACATTAGGGTGGACATTTTAGTTGAATAAAGCAGTGGGTTGCAGATTGCCACAAAGCGATCATATGCCATGGCAGCCAGAAGGAAGCACTCGACTGTCCCGAAGAAATCAGTTGAACCAAGCTGGATGGCACATCCACTATGGGAGATTGTCTGTCTCTCCACCAGGAAGTTTACAAGCATATTGGGTGTGACAGAAGATGAATAGCCTATGTCAGCAAAAGCCAAATGGCTCAGAAAAAAATACATAGGATGATGCAGCTGAGAAGAGATTCTGATAAGAACGATTGTGCTGAGATTGCCAGATAAGGTGACCAGGTAGATGCATAGGATGATCACGAAGAGGATGACTCGAAGGACTGGATCATCTGTTAAGCCCAATAAAATGAACCCAGTCATTGCAGTGTGGTTCCCATTCACCAGGGAATCCATGAGACAATGAAGCTGATACCAAAAAGAACGTGTGATGAAGACAGTATATTAAAGAAGTTATAAATTTGATGATTTTATATTTATTAATACATACATGGAGGTTATTACAAACAAATATACCATTCAAGTAAATTTTGAACTAAAAATTATTATTTTTACTTTAGTGTCCCATTATTTGCATACATTCATTACTCCCTCAACCACAGAAATGCTATCCAATCTGAGAAAGGCTTTGTCAGGTGATTTCAAAATTGTACGAACATCATAGAGTGTACTCACCCAACCCTAGATGAATACCCTACTACACACCTATAACCTTATGGAACCAACATTCTGTATGAGGTCTGTCATTAACTGAAAACTCATTAGTAGGCACATGTCTGTATTTGTGTAAGGAGTCTTTCTAAATTTTAATTACAATATTATTATATTAAGTAGTTGGGAATATCAATGTAATCACTATTGCAAAGTGATACATAATTAATATTCAGGACATAATTACACTACGTTTATTCAGGCCAATGAAATCATCCCCTAATGTAGCAACGTTTTTTAATTGAAGTATTGTAGAATGAAGTATTAATTTGAACATAGCATACAGCTGAGTAAAGTTTCACTATAAAAAGTTAAGGCATTTACCCAGGTTTACCTAGCTAGTAGACAGTTTCATCCTCTTCTCCAAATTTTCTGTCTTCATATCCCTGTCTTTTTTCTAAATTTCTAGTTGCCTGTGATACTACAGCATTCAGACCAATACAAAAAAATCGGTTTTTCCACAAGATATTTACTAACTAAGCTCCCAATGAATCTCAAAGTTACTGAACTTATTAGCATTACAGCTGAATGTCTAAATTCCTAGTTGCCTGTGATACTACAGCATTCAGACCAATACAAAAAAATAGGTTTTTCCACAAGATATTTACTAACTAAGCTCCCAATGAATCTCAAAGTTACTGAACTTATTAGCATTACAGCTGAATGTCAAATATAGATGGTGTTGAAAAACCATTAAGTTTCTGTTCTCATGGGTAGATAAATGAGGAATCTTGGTACATTGAAATATGCCTGTTCATTCACACTAGACTGACGGTGGGAATTAAGTTCAGCTAAAGTTTTCTGCTGACAGCTTGGTTACATCTACCCTATCAACCATGGCTTATGAGCACACATATAACTTTAGAGAATAAAGTTGTCTTAAATGTTAAATGACAACCAAAACATAATACTCACTAATAAAAGCCATAATCTTACCTCTTGAAATAAGAATTTATTCACCTTACAGTAAAAAATTCCAAGTCTTCATTTTTATACAGCAGCCACGCTAGCTTTTAGTATTGTTCTCCTTTGGGGATAAATCTCTGAGCATTCTAGAGAATCAAATGTGAATTCAAAAGCACAAGGGATCATTATCACATTCTCAAGTGAATATTGAGCAGTTCAATTCACACAAATATAAATAAAATTGAAGAGTCTGTCTATTCTCAAGTGTTCAATGTTTTTCATTTTCTTTAGGTGTTGGTGTGCTTTTATTTGTAACATAGTTGATTGCACATATCTGTGGGGTATAGAGTTGAATGTCAATACCTGTATGCAATATGTGATGTTCAAATCAGGATAATTAGTACATTCAACATTATACAATGTAGTGGATTTTACCGTCCCTTTACCAATTCCTTCATTAACTCTGCTCTCCCTATCCCTTTCCCACCTCTGGTAACCTCAGTTCTGTTTTCTCCTTTTGAAAATTCAACATGTTGTCATGATTCTTGTATCTTTCTTTCTTGTTTTATTTATTTGTTTATTTTTTCAGCTCCCATTTATGAATGGAGGACATGTGGTATTTCTCTTTCTGTGCCTGGCTTATTTCACTTAACATGGTATTCTCTAAGTTCATCCACGTTGCTGAAAATGGCAGAATTACATTCTTTTTTTATGGCAGAATAGTATTCCACTGTGTATATATACCACATCTCTCTTATGCAGTCACCCATTGATGGACATTTATGTTGGTACCATATCTTGGCTATTGTAAATAGAGCTGCTATAAACATGAGAGTTCAGGTATCCCTTCAACATGATGATTTCCATTCCTTTGGGTATATACCCAGCAGTGGAATTGCTGTATTGTATGGTGGTTCTATCTGTAGTTGTTTTAGGAATCTCCTCACGATTTTCCATAAACACTACACTGATTTACAGTTCCACCAACAGTGTAAGAGGGTCACCCCCTTCCTCCACATCTTTGCCAGCATTTGTTATTCTCTCTCTTTTTGATTCATCTTTACCAATTTGACTTCATCTTTACCAATCTGGGTGCCCTTTATTTCTTTCTCTTGCTTAACTGCTCTGGCTATTACTTCCAATACTATGTTAAATAGGAGTGGTGAGAGTGGCCATCCTTGTCTTCTTCCTATTCTCAAGAGAAAAGCTTTCAATTTTTTCCCATTTCCCCATGCAGTGGGTTTGTTGTATATGGCTTTTATTATGTTGAGATACTTTCCTTATATGCCTACTATGTTGAGAGCCTTTATTATGAAGGATGTAGAATTTTGTTAAATGATTTTTCTGTACCTTATGAGATAGTAAAATGGTTTGTGTCTTTGATTTTGAAGATGTCGTGATCACATTTATTTACTTGCCCATATTGAACCATCCTAGCATCTCCAGGATGAATCACACTTGATTATGGTGTATATATTTTTGATGTGTTGATGTATCCTATTAGCTAACATTTTATTGATGATTTTTGTGTCTATGTTCATCAAAGATGTTAGCCTATAGTTTTCGTTTATTGAATCTTTGTCTGGATTTTCACCAGGTGATGCTGGCATCATACAATGAGTTTGGGAGAATGGCCTCTGCTTCTACCTTTTTGGAATAGCTTGAAGAAAATTGGCATTAATTCCTCTTTAAAGGTTTGGTAGAATTCAGCAGTAAAGTCATCCAGTCCTGGGCTTTTCTTTGTTGGGAGACTGCTGATTACTGCTTCGATCTCATTGCTTGTTATTGATCTGTTCGGGTGTTCTATGTCTTCTTGGTTTAACCTTGGTCATTTGTATATGCCCAGAAATTTATCCATTTCCTACAGGTTTTCTAATTTGTTTGCATATAGATGTTTGCGAAAGTCTCTAACGATTCTTTGTATTTCTGTGGTATTTGTTGTAATGTCTCCTTATTCATTTCTAATTTTTGTTATTTAGGTCTTCTCCATCTTTTTTTTTTTTCTTTTTCTTAGCCTGGCTAATGGTTTGTATATTTTGTTTATCTTCTCAAAAACCAACTTTTTGTTTCATTGATGTTTTGTATCATTTTTGGGGTTTCTATTATATTCTTGTAGTTCTTCTCTGATCTTTATTTCTTTGCATCTACTAATTTGGGGAATGAATTGTTCTAGATTTTCTAGCTCTTTGAGCAGCATTGGATTATATGTATGAAATAATTTTATCCTTTTGATGTAAGCATTTATTGCAGTAAACTTCTCTCTAAGCAATGCTTTTGCAGCATCCCAAAGGTTTTGGAATGATGTGTCTTTATTTTCATTAGTTTCAAGAATATTTTTTATTTCCTGTTTAATTTCTTCTTTGACCAATGTGTAGTTCATTAGCATGTGTTTAATTTCCGTGTGTTGGTATACTCTCCAGAGTTTCACCTGTTTTTTTTTTTTTTTCCTTTTTGTCTTTTTTACTGACCGGTAATGGGATCGCAACCCTCAGTGTCGCACCCGTACTGGGGACCGGCAACGGGATTGCAACCCTCGGTGTTGCGCCCACACCATGCTCAGCCAGTAAGTGGGAACCAGTCTCCACATGGGATCCGAACCCTCAGCGGGAGCGCCACCGCGCTCCCAAGCAGCGCACTCTCCAGTGTGCCACTGGGCCAGCCCAAGTTTCACCTGTTATTGATTTCTTTTTTAAATCCATTGTGGTTTGAGAAGGTATTTGAAATTATTTCAATTTTAAAAAAATGTGTTAAGGCTTGATTTGTGACCTAACATGTGGTGTATTCTGGAAAATGTTCCAAACATTGATGAGAAGAATGTATACTCTGTGTCTGTTGGATTAAATGTTCTGTAGATATGCAAGTCCAATTGGTCTAAAGTGTGGTTTAAATCCTGTGTTTCTCTGTTCATTTGTTGTCTAGACAATTTGTCCAATGATTAGAGAGGAGTGTTGGGTTCTGCAACTATTATTGTATTTGCACCTATCTCTTTCCTTAGGTCTAATAGTGTTTGCTTTATATATCTGGGTGTTTGATGTTGAGTGCATATATATTTATGATTGCTATGTCTCCTTGTTGGATAGATCCCTTTATCATTATATAGTGGCCATTTCTGTCTCTTTTTATAGTTTTTAGTTAAAAGTCTATTTTATCCTATATAAGTATAGCTACTGTTACTCATTTTTCATTTCCATTTGCTTGGTATGTCTTTTTTCATTCTTTCACTCTTTGTGTGTGCCTTTACAGCTGAGATGAGTCCTTTGTAGGCAGCATATAGTTGGGTCTAGTTTCTTAACCCAATCAACTAGTCTGTGGGTTTTTTGAGTGCAGAATGAAATCCATTTACATTTAAGGTTGTTATTGAAAGGTATTGTCTTACTTGTGGCACTTTATCGATATTTATTTGTATGTTTTAAATATCTTTTGTTTCTCTCTTCCACTTTTATTGTTTGTCTCCAGTGTTTGTTAGTTTTTGGAGATGGTAAGATATGGTTTCCTTCTCTTCCTCATTCACATTTTTGTTCTTTCAGGGGGGTTTATTCTTTCTTGTGTATTCATAGTCATGATTATCATTTTTCAGATTCCAGATGTAAGACTCCCTTGAAGATTTCTTGTAGGGCTGGTCATGTGGTGGTGAACCCTTGTAGTTTTTATTTGTCTGGTAAATACACTATTTCTCCTTCATTTCTGAAGTATAGCCTTGCTGTAATATATTCTGTATTGTATTCTATTCTCTACTGTACTCTGTATTGTATTATATTCTAGGCTGGCAGTTTTTCTTT